GCTAATTGAAAAACAAGATGAAATAAATAAAGGCACTCTGTTCGAGTGATAGAGCCAATCCCAGAAGCTCCACAGTTTCTAATGATAACCCAGAGCAATGGGTGAACTACCTCCCTAAGAGCCCCCAACAAAAAAACTGTTTCCATTTTTGTTGATTGTGTACTAGCACCACATGGGTGCTGAACACACTACATGCTTTTATTGTACAACATACAGGAATGAACCAGAAGTGTAGCTGGGAGCTTCTTCCCTGCTCTCTACCACACCTACTGCTTCCTCCACTTTGCAAGGGGGGCCCATCTCACTATGAATAGTGCCATTGCCAGGTAGGTAGGTAGGCCTGAGCTGTATTTTTTTTAAAAAAAGTAGTTGAATGTAAGCCTGGGGGCAAGTCCTAAGCATTGTTCTTGGATGGATTTATGCTTCTTTTCTGGTCTAGCCTTCCCTTGATGATGGTCTGTAACCTGTAAGCTAAAATAAACCCTTTCCTCCCCGGTTTGCTTTTAGTCATTGTGATTATTACAGGAATGGAAAGAAAATTAGGACATTTCTCTTTTTGTTCAAATCTCAATGTCTTTGTTGAATTTGTATTCATTTTGCTTTTTGTTCATTTTGCTGATTATCACTTCTATTTTGCTTATTTCTCTCATCTATTTTGCTTTGGATTAATCTTTTTTATATAATCTTTTAGAGCATTGATAATTTTTATTAATAAACATTTGACTCTTATTCTAGCCTTTGGCCTAGTTCAGCATTTTTAATTAGTCATTCTGGAGTTGTGATCTTTTGGAAGTTTCATGTTGATTTTCCATGCTACTTTTGTTTAGGTGTTATGTATTGTTTCTAAGCTAAGTTTTGAATATTCTTAGAGAACATTAGAGAACATATTACTTATGATGGTTCATTCTACATTAACACTCAAAGAGACACACTATTGTAACAGTAACTTCACAATGTTCAAGACACATACATTGACTTAAAATTGATCAAAGCATGAACAATGACCACAAAACAGAAATGGTCAAGCTCGTGTACAATATGCTTTGAAGATAAAAATTATCTAGGGTAAATACAGATACAGTAAGTGAATGAGATAAAGGAAGAAGATTAAAGGGGTGTTATAGAAAAGAACAGCATATCCGAACAGAAAGAAAAAGAAAAGATTTCCCAATAATGACAAATTTTGAAATAAAATTAGTTAATATGTGAAGGAGAATCAAAACAAAAATGCAATAAACTCCTAAAAACCAAAAAATTTCTAAAAATACAGCAGCAAGAAACTCTGAAAAGAAGTAGAACAAGAAAAGTTGTACAGTAATGGAATATGCACATACAGATGTCTAGAAATTGAGGAATAAAAACTAAGATCATTGAGATTTGTTAATATGATAAAATTAATGTGCTGCAAAAGATGAATTAAAAGGGAGACCAAGGCAAAAGAAGACAAAGTTCTGGCTCCTCATGATTGGAGACTGGCATTCAGTGGGAGAGTTCAGAGCAACTGTCAGCCCTCAACATTTTCTGTGATTTATGCTGGAAGTCGGTGTGTATTTGACAATTCTCCAGTGTCCCCAGAGCTGTTTGTTCTCTGTGTGACAAGTGCTTTTTCTAACTACATTTAGCTGTGTAGTCTATGAGACAGGTAAGTTCTTTTATCTTGCAGAGACTTTTCAGACCATAGGCACTTGGGGAACTACTGTTTTAGCTAAAGTGTGTCTCTTAATAACATTGAGAGTTGGGGAAATAACCACAGCACTGATATTTATACAAGGAGAGGATCTGTCTTCATACTTTCAAAATACCCTAAGTATCGATCACATTGCTACAGAGAACCAAGCCCTGCCCTGGGCTTCAGGCATGAAAACAGTTTCTCAGTAATGGAATCATAGGTCATTTCTAAGAAACAAACAAGCCAGTTGGTGAACTAATCTTTGTTTCATCATCCGATTTCATTTGAAACATGAGCACAGACTCATTCAGTGAAAAAGGAAAAATGATCACTAAAGCTTCCAGTGTCCCCCTTACTAAGTACCCATACTTGAATACTTGGCTCTACTCTTCTGAGAAAGGCATAACCCCTGATAGTCCCTTCTGAATGCCTCTTGCTAAGTTTTATCTTTAAGTTCATGTTGATATATCTTTCATAATACTTCCAATTTGACTGCACTATGAACAAAAGAAGATAACCTGTGCAAGTTACTTATATAGATAGTTAAATGAAATATCAGGTTGGTTATGATTTTATTTTTTGGCTACTTCACTGAATGCTACAGGATGGAAGTGTGATTTTTTTTTTGAACTACAGAATGCATTGTGCTGACTACACCTATCCTGAAAATAGTAATAGTGCTGGTTTTCAGACTACATGAAACCTGATTTCACCATTACTGACTGAGTGTTTGAGGTAGGAGACCACAAAGCACAGTTTTCTTCTTTAATGTTTTCAAGGTTAGTGTCACTTCGATGAAAAAAATTCTTTCACATATTTGCCAATATACAGCCAAAGAATCTTCTTATGTTCTTTAAATTCATGTATATGTACTCTTATGCCTCTGTATGATATGTAAGAATATGTTTACGACATATGTGCCTGGGTTAGAGGACATGATTTAGCTAGGGGACTAATTCCTTCAGTTTCCCTTTAGTTGCTTCCCTGACTACATTATTCAGGAGGAGGGAGTTAACGATGAGAAAGAAGGGAGAAAAGATAATTCCCAAGAGTGAAAAGAAAAAGGGAAGGTAAGAGAAATAAGACAAACAAGCAATGAAATGAGTATAGTAGGAGAGAATAGGCCGAAGGTTGAGTTTTGGAATCTTGGCTTCCCTTTGGCCTTGTGCCTTCCTGTCCCCAAATTCCTAAGCTACTGCTAAGCTCTTCTGTGCTCCTCCCATCTGGTCCCATCCTGGTACAAGCTTGCATCTCATACCTATGTCTCCCAACACACAAGGTAGAAAAAAATTCTTTTCAGTACTCACTAAGAGGATAATGCTGATGAGCTTAGGAAAAAAATGCAAAAGGAACTGGGCAGTTGGGCTTAGTGACCCTACTCTCTAACCCTGGAAGGAGGAGGCAAATGAATGTGGATCTGAGTTTCAGGCCAGCCTTTTCTACATAACAGCTTCCAGGTCAGCCAGGGCTACATAGTGATTCCCTGTGTTCTTTAAAACAACAATAACAACAAAGCAAAATATATATGGAACTTCTGACACTTTTTCTTCTCATATTTGAAGAAAATTTTAAGTCTATACAGAAGGTGACCAACATCCACCTTCAAACTAAATTCCTGAATTCAAATCTGCCCATTAGATAGCACTCCTTTATACGTTCTGCTCTTTGCAACATTGGATTTTGAGGAAGCACATTGTTGGGTAAAGAGAGGCCTTTAGGGTACAATGTATTTCAAAACACAATTAAAATAAACTCTTCAAGTGGAAATGTAAGATGCATTTGTATTCTATTAAAGCCTTTGGCCTTATCAACTGTAGAGTGCTTCTTTAGTAACCAGTCTCACACAATAGGCAACAGGCATCAGCTGCACAAAAACAAACAAGGGCTTCAAACACCACAATAACTTCCTGTACCTGCTTTTGTTTGCCTGTTGAGCCTGCAAACACTGGGAGTTGCTGAAATACACAAGCTTGAGTCAATATTTGCTGGTTAAACTGTGGTGTTTTTATTTTGGAAGGTGACTGAACCCTTTGAATAAACACATCTCCTGGTAAGCAGGAAGAAGAACTACATCAGGAAGGCACTAGGGAGAGAGTCAAAAACAGAATCAGCTGTACCTTTGTGGTGGCACAGATTGGGAAATCTTGCGTCTTCAGAGGATCCTGCCCTAACACAGCCCTTTCAGAGACAAAGGGTCAACCCCTTTGGGACAGGAGAAGTGCCTACCTCAAGTTACACTCCCTGTCTTTAAGATTCTTCTCACCAAGTCATGTGGGGTTTCTTTTCATCAGAGTTCTATGCTCACAGCTTCAGGAGCATTTTATCTAGTGGGGCTAAGAATGCATGGTCCTAAGAAATTCCCAAGTAATATCCGTGAGTTAATTCTGGGACCAAGTACTGGTCTAGACCAGTTCATTCTAAGACAAATGCAATGTTGGCAAGGCATTATATTTCAAATTATAACTATGTAGCTTCTTAAGGGAAACAAATAATCATGATGTGAGGTTTAGTAACATAGGATTAACAAGAAGTTTCAGCATGTAGAGGATGGTTTTCAGGACAGGGGCATCTGAGAAACATACTCTGGTCCTTTACATGCAATGGTGTAGTGTTTATCTGGGATGGATGCACATCCATCTGCATAGTTGAAATAAGCTTCAGAGTTCTTGCAGTGCCAAATAAAATGTACTCCTATATAAATAGTTGTTCAGTATTGTTTACAGAAGAGTGACAAGAAAAAAATGTGTCCGTGTTCAAAACAAATATAGTATTTTTCCTACTGATTTTGACTCGTTGTTAGTTGAATTAATGTGGAATGGAATTCATGGTCCAGCACATCTAATTTGGCTGGAGCACATATCATGTGTTAAATGGCCACCTGTGGATTATGGGTATGGTACAGTATGGCACAGTTCTAGCTTACAGTCACAAATCCCTCCCAGATCAGTATCTGTATCTGGTTGAGGCAATAAGTTGTGGTGATATTTTATTTGTGCTGAAATGTGATTATATTTTATTTGTATATTAATAAATAAAGTTTGCCTGGAGATCAGAGGTCATAGCAAGCCACTAACACAAAAGTCAAGCAATGGTAGCAAACGCCCTTAATCCAATCACTTGGCAGGCAAGGTTTCTGTGTGTTCAAGGGCACATTAGAAAACAACCAAGCATGGTGACACATGCCTTTGATCCCAGTACTAACCACAGAGACCTGGAGGTCCGTCCAGACAGGCAGTGACAAGGAAGTGAAGTAGCTGAACTAAGAGCCAATGAGAGGGCAGGACAGCAAGGCAATAAAGGTGCAGGTTAGACAGGAAGAAGCCCCATTTGGTAGCTGCAGAGCTGGAGAGGCAAGGTTGGTGGCTATCATTACTTCCTTGATCTCTAAGGCTTTCACCCCATATTTGGCTCCATGTTTATTATTTAATAAGGCCTTTTAGAAATTCATCTAAAATATGTAATCTTACCTTTGAGGGGTTTCCTGGTGATGCATTCCTATTCAGAAGCATGGTGTCAATTCAGAGGATTCTGGGAAATCCTTTAGGCATGAAGCAATTGAGGTAGGAAGACAAATGCATAGCATAGGCTTTGTGTAAATGTATGAGGGAGGGGGAAAGAGATAGAAGCAGAAGAAGGAGAAATAAAGTAAGTAAGAAAGAAAGACAAAAGAGTGTTCACTGTTATTCTTGTCTACTTCCATTCCTGGGACATACCTTAAATCCTGATCACTGCTATATATGCTGTGTCTCATCTCTTTTTAGGGCATTTGGCATTTTAGGCTTAAAGACTCTGCTCATACCAGAAGACAGTATACTGCAGAACTCTCCTTTATTTTACAGTTAGTTTGGGGTTTGACTTGAAGGAGTGATCATAAAGAGAATGATAACTTTGGTGTTTGTTGCAATGGAGAAAAGACTCTGTGAGGAAGGAAAAGTAACTGGAAATCAATACCATCTTTGGAGAGAATCCCCTTTTGCCCATGTAAGTGCTGCCCTCAGGATCAGGAGCTGGAATTAACCTGGAAACTTTATTATTATTGTTTTTTTAATAAAGCTTCTTTATGATCAATTGACATGAATTCCCAGGTTGCAGATTCGGGTAAATGAAGGTAAAAAAACAAATGATGTTGTTTGAGAGTTATCTCTTCTCCCAGGGGTACCACTTCTCGTTCCTACCTCACTTACCTCCTGGTCTCCAAAGAGCAAGAGGAGACAGAGAGTGAAATTAAATTTTTCATGAACATAAACAGATATCAATAAAAAAGGAATGGTCCATTGCCCTGATTTTATTGTCTGGTTAATCTGCAATGCATAATTACAATAAAAATTAGCCATTGTAGGCATGGCTGTACTAAAGGCTTACTCAATGTCAGACCCTATGTTTGATGCTTGACACTTTGCTTATCCTATTTATTTATTTATTTATTTATTTATTTATTTATTTATCCATCCTATGACATACAGACATGGAGAGCTGTTGTTGGGAAATATCCTAAGGAAGGTAGTAAGTGATTGACAGCCTACCTCTCACCAAAGTTTTTTTGACTATTAAACTTGTGTCATTTGATGGATTAAAAAAGTTTGACTTGATGAGTGTTTTTTTTTTCTTGCCAATGTAAGTGTTGCAAGACTCAGATGTTTGTTTGAGCATCTCACTCCAGCAACATCCTTCCAGATTCTCATGATTTGAACACTAGATCTCCGCTGCATGCTCATGTTTTTGTTCCTTGTTCCCTGGCTTGCTGTGCCATTTTGGGAGGCTGTGGAATCTCTACTGTTGAGACCTAACTTGCAAAAGTAAGTTATTAGAAGCAGAGCTTTGAAAATTTTACCTAACCAAAGTTTCAGCCTGTCCTCTATGCTTCCTGTTCAATACCCAGTAAATACTGCCACCATATACCTTCCTACCAAGGGCAGAGTTCTTCGCTATGTTTATGGACAAAATTTTCTCGAAATAAATGATTCAAAATAAAACTTTTCTCAAGTTATAAGAGTGTGAGAAAGCTAGTCTTCTACTTTGTAACAAGGTAAACAGAGCTAAGTTACCAGGATGCCAATCCTCTGGTGCATATATCTGATCTGCACTCATAGGGACAAAGGACTATAATGCTGGGGAAGACCATAGCTCCTCAGAATGGAGACTAGCCAGTGCAAATGAACACATGACATCTACAAAACTAAACCCAGTGCCTTTCAACTCAGACCCAAACTAGCACTGTGACAATTTTTACCCCTCCCTTAACCTCTGTCTTTAGGAAGTCTTCCCACACATGACTGGGTTATCTGCATTCATTCCACTAGTGATAATTTTTAAATCCCTATGTCATCTTTTCTGTGACAGGCAGTCCTCTCAAAGGTATGAATTTCTTATGAGCCAGAAACCATGACCTATGTAAGAGGATATTAAAGGAAGGACACAACTTCCTTGTGATAGTTCAGACTGCTTTCAGCTACTACCACAGAACAAGTGACAAGGCAGTAATACATTCTGCTGGAGAGCTCACTGATAAGAACCCTGTGAAGATGCTCTTGGTCTCTGTGGATGCTTTGCTGTTTACACTTACCCTTTCTCATCCTACATCTGAATAAGAAAGTTGAATGGAAAACTTCAATATCTGAAGACACAAAATGGATTTTGATGTTGAAAAAGACTTTTAAATGGAGGAAGTCACGGATAACAATTCCATAAATAAGGTGGTTCTGAATCTCAGTATGTGAGACTTGAATGAGATAGTACAGACTTACAACGACTGACAACATATGACAAATTTCATGTTTTCAATAACATAATTACAATAAATGCAATGAAATAAAAATTTGTAAGTCTACCAGCTAATTGAATGACATGCCTATGGTGGCCATCATGTCATAGAGCACAAGCAAAGAGCACTTCATTTCAGAATGTTCCAATGAGCAAGGTTGGTTATATGGTGTGGTGGTTCGAAAGAAAATGTTTCCCACAGGGGATAGCACTATTAGGAGGTGTGGCTTTGTTGGTATGGTATGTTTGTAGGTATGGTCTTGTTGGAGGAAGTATGCCACTGTGGAGGTAGGTTTTGAAGGTTCATATATGCTCAAGTCATGCCCAGTGAGATAGTCTACTTCCTATTGCCTGCCTATCAATATGTAACAAGCAGCTCCTTCTCTAGCACCATGTCTGTTTGCACACTGCCATGCTTGCCATTATGATTATAATGGACTAAATCTCTGAAACCATCAGCTAACACTTCAAGTAAATATTTTCCTGGATAAGAGTTTCTATAGTCATGGTGCTCTTTACAGCAATAGAAACCCTAAGATACATTGATAGACTGGTCACCTGATTTTATACAAAGGAACAGAAGCCTTTGAGGTTGAGATAAGGTTTCCTGCCTTCTTGTCTTATAGGTGTATTTTATCTATAATTAGAAAGGACCTGTTGTTTTTATTTTTATTTTTTTACTATGTCATAGTATTGCACCATTTCCCATTTCTGTTGAAAATGGTAACTGCTTCCTAGTGATATCTTGCCCAAATACAAATGAAAGGAAGTCAGCTAGTGACACAATTAGTGAGTATGAGTCAAGGTAAGAGTGGCTATAAAATGAAATTAAGATAAAAATCAAGTCCTGTCCTCAATATGAACTCTTCGAGAGTCATAAAAGGGCATTTTTCCATTCTCTGTATTTAAGCCTATAGCTCACAAGGCTGCCTCCATTAATATAAGTTTGTTGATTTATCTAATGAGTGTATTTTATCTTTTGCTTCTTTGTTTGTTTGTTTGTTTTATGTAATGAATGCCATATGAGGTTTTAGTTCTCTCCAGAACCCCAAGAAAGCTTCTCTTCTACTGTGTGTACAGGGCACATTTAGAAACTTGAGTTATATCAACTGATAAGCAATAATAATGATTAGCTTAAATATGGGAAAAATTATTTTGAATTAAACTGCAGTTCAAACATGTACTAGATAAAAAAAACTCTCAATGTTAAATATGCTATATAGTTCTATGTCAAGGTCCAATCATAAGATAAAGATAGACTATACACAGAAATTTATTTATAGTAATTTGCTGAATTTCTACATGCATTTTAAGAATCTCACAATTAAGTCAAAGGACTACTAACAAATACTACCAGTTTCAGGGGTGATATAGACCCCAAAGAATTTTTAGAGCCCCCAAGGGTTTTGGTCTATATCCTTATTCACCTATATCTCATCAATCACCTCTTTGCTGAGAACACAATAGTCATCAGAGAAAGGCTGAACGGAAATAGGGAGAGGAATAGGAAGAAAAATGGAAAGAGAAAAAGAGAAAGGAAACAAAATATTGTGCTTGAAAATCCATGTCACTTCTAAATTAGAAAACAAGCAGATATCATTCTAATTTGATCTTCTCCATGTGGTTAAAAGTAATTATGACTGAAGATGGAGATGTGTCATGCTTTCATATGCTCAGAAAACCCTATATTAAAATAATCTCTTTCACTCTGGTCAGCACTTCCTTGCAAGCTATGCACTTCAACTAAAATAGAGTTTACACACTTAACTACAGCAGTGAATGGAGGACCTGCATCAGATCAAAGAATTAGCTGGAGTGAATACAAAAAAAAAACTGTATTAACCTACAGAGATGTTTAGAAGAAGAAATGTTTGGTATTTATAGCTTGGAGGAAAGTTACCTTTGACATTTAACTGCCCAACTCAGAGGCAAAGGATAGAGACAGAGAGATATCCCAGGACCTAGTTTGGATGGCTAGAACATATTGCATTACATGAATCAATAAATTCACCATTCTTACTCCTTAAAGACTATGTTACTTAAATTCTGGTGTCTGGAACGAAAGAGCAGTTATTATAAATATATATTATGATTATCCCTGTGACCTCTGCTTCAGTTAATGGATGAAGGTGACTTCCTAGTGCTTTGAACTTCCTCAGATGGCCAGATCTCTGGACATTACAATGTGGATTTATTTTTAGGTATTTGTTCTCTCATTTTCTCATATTTTGCCTTGCTTTACCCATAATATAAATTGTAAATTTATAAGTTTCCATAAGAGAGACCCTTCCCTTTCTAAAGAGTCTGCTCAGTCCAAGACAAAAGAATAAGAAACAAGGATTTAAAAGTTATCTTCTCCTTTATACTTAATAACTTATCTTTTATGGCATTTGCCAACATAAAAAGTTGGGTAGTACCTAAGTGGCCTCCACTGAGTCCTATTTCTAGCTTGACATCATGCAGATGGGTATCTTGGTATATACAAGCTGTCCTCTGCTCATGAATCACAGAACAACAAATAATCAAGACCAGAAAAGAATATCCCCACAGCATTTCATACCTAAAACACTAAGTATACATAACAAAGAAAGATTATTGAAAGCTTCAAAAGAAAAAACTCAAGTCACATATAAAGGAAAACTCATTAGAATGACAGGTAATTTCTCAATGGAAACTTTGAAATCAGAAGTAATACATTCCAAATCCTAAAAGCCTATGAGAGCTAACCTAGAATAATATAGACAGCAAAACTACCCACCATAATTGAAGAGGAAAGAGAAAACTTTCTATAACATAAATAACATTTACATATATATATATATATATATATATATATATATATTAAAGAAAATATAAGAAGTAAATATTTCACTCTGAAGAGAGGAATGAGCATGGACAGCAGAGTGACTATTGAGAGAAACATGAAGCTATATTTATTAAAACACAAAGTAAAACTGAGAACACAAGCATGAAAAAAACAGACAACACAATAACATAAATTAACGCATACCATTCAATAACTTTAAATATTAATGGCCTAAATTCTTTAAAAAGATACAGGCTGATTGGGAGGATCAAGAAACTAAATCCATCTTTATGTTGTCTACAAGAAACATGTCATAGCTTTAAGATTTGCACTGCCTTAGGGTAAAAGGACAGACAAACACTCAAGTCAAAGGAGATCAGAAAAAAAGCAGGTGTTGCTGTCCTAATATCTGACAAACAGACTTCAAACTAATACTAACTAAAAGAGATAAAGTGTGATACTTCATTCAAATAAAGAGAACAGTTAACCAAAAAGACATTAATACCCTAAGCACATACGCATCAAACTTTAGGGCACCTATTTTTATTAAAGAAGTATTTTAGGCTTTATAGATGCAGATTGACATTAATCCATTAATATTATTAATATACTGTTCTTGCTACTAGGCATCTAAATAAAAAATAAACAGAAAAACATTAAAATAATTTAACATCATATAGACTCAAGAGAGAACTACACTATATTATATCTAAACAAGCAAGATTACTCATTCTACTAAGTACCACATGGATGTTTTTCTTAAATATACCACATTCTGGGACACAAAGTTAATCTTTACAAATTCAAAAAGACTGAATTCATTCATTGTGTCCTTTCTGACCCCAATACAATAAAACTAAAAATTAGCAGCTAACATATCTATTTATCATAACAATAAATATAGACACTCATGGAGATTAAACAACTGGTTATTGAATAATCAATGAGCCAAGGTAGAAATAAAACAAAAATCCCTAAAGTGAAATGAAAGTAAAAACACAACAAAACAAAACTTCCAACAGTCATTTAAAACAGACCTATGAAGTAAAGCAGGTGATTATCCTATGATTACAATGAAAAACAGAAACCATTTCATTGATAGCTGTGCTTTTTGTATCAATGGGAAATAATTAAAAATTTTCAGAGAATGTGGGACATGATATGCATTATGATGTAAGACAAAAATCAAGCTTTTCCCATAAGAAGCTACTGACTAATGTGAGCTAGTGTACTGTTTGGACATGCCTTCAGCAATTGTAGCTCATGAGCAAAGAACCATTTATAAATCAGCACCTTCCCAAGTGCAAGGGAGAGATTTAAGATAATTTTTCCTTCTCTGATTGCCCAGGAATCATACCTTTTAACATTGTTGAAAATAGGAGGGGATGTTAGAGGATTCTACTCTGTAATCAGTTTCTACACAATTCTTCATAGCGCAAAAGTAGATGGTAATCTTTTAGCAAAAAGCTTCTGTTCTTCTTTGACCTCATACTACGTCGCTAGATATCCATCCACCACCCTATTCTTTGTCTGAAGCCCCCTGGTTGGGTGCCCTGTGAACACAGACAGCTTTATAACTTTGCCTCTCTTCTTCAATAAAAATTGAATTCCTAAGAAGATAAAGGATAATGCTTCCAAGACCTATTACTCTTCTTGCCATTTTTTTTTGTCTTTGAACAATGGCTTGAAAGAAAGATAAATTATTAAATGCAAAATATGGAAAGCCTCTGGACCAGAGTCCCTCTTTTCTTCTTCTATAATGTCTACATACATAAAATTCTGTTGAAAATCTTTTAAAGACATTATTAGGGAGATATTTACATTTTAGCGCATTATAAATTGTTAGAAAGAATTTAGACATTTCAGATAGTCTAACAGGAATAGAAAAAAAAATGATTTGCATTTATTTAGATAAATATAAGCAAAGGGACTCCAACAGAAGAGAAAATTTGAAATTCATTAATTTTAAAATCCAATTGTATGTGTTTAAAAGTGCCTCACAAGTTTATTGGTGGGGTTATAATTACATTTGATTAGTAAGAGAACTATTAATACTGCTGATAATAATGATAAGGGCAGTCAGTTACAGTGACATGTGCTTTCTTAGTTTAACTTTTTAAAATAAATTTACTAAAAAACAAAAATTATACATATTAATTATTGGAGAATAATTAAATATAATATTGAATAATATTTAAATCAAGCTAAGCATATTTATCTAATCAATAATGTTTGGTTTGAAATTGTGTTAACAGGAACTA